CCGGGGCACGAACCCGTGTCCCCTGCATCGGCAGGTGGACTCTCAGCCACTGCGCCACCAGGGAAGTCCAGCCATTATATTCTTCAATGACTAAGTAATTATCCCAAATAATTCTTCAAATATTTACCACAAAAAAGGAAAAGAAGTGGCATTATTGCTATCAGAGTCCCTGAAGGTAAAGCCTCAAGGAAAAATTAAGATAGTTACTGTTTCCCTAACCTTATCTGTCTTTAAAGTACATAGACTGTAAGCCAAGGGAATCCTGGAATTTTTCAACCTCAGAAGAAAATTTTCTCATTCTCAGTATCTACATGCCTTCTCTCTCTCTGTCTCTCTCCTTCTCTCACACACACACACATACACACACCTGATAGAACTGATCACTTTTGAAGAATTTATCACAATCCTACCTTACCGATAAGACAATTCGTTTCCAAACGCCTAGAATGATCTGTGCTGTAGGAGTTTTCCCTAAAATACTTGTTTGAACTCTTATTAGATGTTTAAAATATTAAATTTGTTTAGAACCATTTGTGCAAAAAAATTCTACGCCTTGTACAAAATGATGAAACTTGACTAAAATGAATGAATAACTACAACTTTTTAACTTATACTTCTTTTTGCACAGAAAATGCCAAAGATGAGATCTCTAAAATCCTCTAATACATTCTCATACTCAATTTCCACAAAATCTAGATTTGCAAGTTCTACCGTCTATAGGCAGAAAACAGAGAACATTCTATATATGAATTCAAATTATTTTCATACTGTATTGCTTATGTTAAAAGATGCGGTAACTAGTTGTACAACCTTCTTTAAGCACACACACACATACCCTGCAAAAAAGGTGACAATAGAAAAAAGTCCACAGAATGTTCAACATTTCAACATTACAAGAGATTTAAAGTGTTCTTCAAGATGTTACCCTCCTAGTAAAACATTAGTTTCGTTCATTTACATAACATCTCTGGTTGGATCCAGTATGCTTCCTTACCCCAGTCTGTTCCATCGCCTGCACTTCTGGATTCATTGTCTCCTTCTTCTGATGTAACCAAAAAGTCAAACTCCTTTAGAGCTTCTTTTGTATCTCGATCTTCACTGCTATCAGGCAATACTTTTTTCCTAACAATCTAATGAAAAAAACATGTTCAATTAAAATATTAGGATATATTATGGGATTAATTTAAGTAAAGAAGACAATATCCTTTTACCACTGAATGAGAAAACCCAATTATTTTCTTCAGAAAATGCATCTTTGTTGTGTTAAATAACTGTAATACCTATCCAATTCAGTAGAAAACACAGATGTCATTTTAAAAAGATATACATTATACATTTTAAAGTAGTAATTTAAACTTTGTTAAATGATGGCTTGTTTGTTTTAAATAAACAAATGGAATCATATATTGAAAACACTGGAATATAAGACATGCATTTAAATTACAGATAGATGAAAAATGTCCCTGACATACTGTATTATGAGAACCACAACCAAATTTTACATTTCTTGGATGCAGTCTGTGCAGCAAGCAGATATTCTAATCTAACCAAAGAAAGAAACACTTCATAAAACATTGCAGGAGTTTTTCAGAATATAACCATGATAAATTTTAACTCTAGTACATCATTCTCTTACAAAAGCTAAAATCACAAAAGCTACAAACTCAGAAATGCATGCCACAAGATTGAGAAGGTATTCTGTGGGGCAGGGGGAACAATGCCCATTATTATTTCTACTGTCCCAACCTTGCATCAGTTTCCTCTAATAATTGCCTATATATTCAAATTTTTCTTCAAATATTGATCTTTTAGAGACATAATCTAGATTTAATAGCAAATCTGACAAGGGATATTATGTCTCATTTTTATACATTTAGAAATACCTCTGGAATCATAAGGTGAAGAGATCAAACATGAAAAAAGAGAAGGAGATGGGGAGGAGGAAAATGACCCAGAGTGTAATGCAAAGAAAAATCAAACTCCAATACAGGGCAAAGAACAAGAAAGGACAATGAACATATGTAGCTTTTTGAAGAAAATGCCTGAAGAAAATAGACTTAACACAACCAACAGCTACTAAGAGCCTTATGTTTCTGTATTTTCTTAGTTGAATCTATTGAATTATTTTTGATTAAAGAAATAAAATAACATTTTAAGAACCTGCTTGTTCTACTAAACATTTTAACAGCATAATTTTCAGCCATTCTCTCTATATACAGCAGTGCAATAAATCTTCTAAGTCCTGCTTATACATTGCTACATAGAGTTAGATTTTTAAAGTCTTTTGGCATGTAGCTATTATACTGCAGCTGTGAAAATCAATGTAATATATAATAAAAATTAGCAAAACTATTATAAAGAAACCAATTATTTGTTTAGAAATAAACCAAATAAAACAAAAGAAAGGAAAAACTAGACCCAAAAATTTTGGGTCCAATATTTAAATGGGGTTAAGTATGCTTATATTAGCTGTGCCTTCATTGCTTGGTCACAGAATTGCTATGATCTACACTAACTGGAGGTCAAGATATTTATGAATTTGATTATTTGAAAAGAAACCAGTTTACAGTTAGGAATTTCTATTAAGACCACACTTGATAGTTATAATAAACAGCTTATAGATTTTTAAATATTTACACTGACATAATGACTAACAACAAAACTTAAAGCATCATAATTAGTTATTATTTAACCACTGAGTTATGAATAACGTATTCTGATGGAAAAATAATATCTCAGTACAAGCATCCCATAGAAATCACAAGTCAGCACAGAATTTCCAAATGATTAGGACAGAGAAAAGTTATCATACAAGTTTCGGCATTTTCTTTTACTACAGTATATTTAAACATGTGCTATAACTACTTGTTTGAATAATAAAAAAAAGGGAGTAACTATGTGAAGTTCAAATAATATCCATGGCAGGGCTGTATTAGCACAGTACTACTGAATAGTGGCCCAGGGAAACATTAATCTGGAAGTAGTAAATTGAGTGTCTCTGATGAAAGCAGAGGACATAAAGAGAACAGAGAAATTACACTTAGAAAGCACTTTATAGTTAAACATATCATTTTCATACATAGTGTTTCATTTATTCCTCACAAAATACTCTGGGGCTAAGATGGTTATTTATTATAATCCCCATTTTACAAACTGAAAAACTAAGCCTGAAGGATTAAGAAGCACAGATAACTAGTGACAGAACTGGGACTTTAGCCCAAGGCTTTGACTCGTTCCAGTCTGCTTTATTTACACTACCTTACTTTCTCCTCCCTCTTCTTAAATAAACGTGAAGGAGGAAATGTGAACACTCTCCTAAACAGAGAAGCACACCCTCATCTCTTACTTAAAAGAAGGAGGAGAAAGACAGAGAAGGAACGAGAAGAGGGAATATGAAGAGAGAAAGAAAAGAGGGGAGAGGTTAACAAGGGGAGAGCGTAGAAGGGGATAGAATAAAGAAGGGAAGAGAAGGGAGAATTTAGATACCTCTTATTCCAGGACTCTAACATGGAAACAATAAACTTACAAAAATCTATACAAAACCACAGAATAACCCTAAACAAGTTTGGAGAAATCTAATGGAAGAGTTCTGAAAACGTGTAGAACTTGCCTACCAAAGCAACCCTGACATGAGAAACAAAAACCACACCGATCAGAATTGACGCCAGTCACCATCAGGCACCACAATGGGTCTGTGTATTGTCTTATAGCACCAAAAACAATGCATTGTTATAACACACATTTACCATGTTCACTAAACCCTACAAAAATGTTGAAATGTTTAATGAATTAACAAAAAGCTAATGAATGAAGGCCCATAAGAAAAAGCTGCTATACTAAAAAGTCTTGAATTTGAAATCAATACAAAAACTTTTAGATTAAATTTCCCCAAACTTATGGGGAATTTAGATTAAATTTCCCCACACTTTTTTTTTTTTATGGAAAAAAAAAGTTAAGGGTTGAAGTTGAAGGGTATGGATTAAAGTATGCATAAGGGTCCCTAAAAAGATTTATATCTGAGTTATTCAACTCACCGTTGAAGTATCAATGATGCTTTTCTCTCTTCCATCAATGTCATCATCTTCATCTTCATCACTGAAATCTGCAGCTGCACTTTCAAGGAATTTAAAATTATCCAGCACGGAGGCAGAATCTGTTAACTCAGATTTTCTGGTTTAAAACATATACACCTTGCTCAGTTAATTTTTTAAACTCGACATAAGAATTAATCCATGATATACAGCACTAACTTCTGTTTTGTTATTGTATTATGACACCCCCAAATCATATCATGATCTACATTGATTCTTCTCTATTACATTTCCATGGATTTTAACTGGAAAAGCAATATAGGAAGGAAGTGCCTACTCTTTTTTTTTTCCTTTTTTTTTTGTGGTACGCGGGCCTCTCACTGTTGTGGCCTCTCCCCTTGCGGAACACAGGTTCCAGACACGCAGGCTCAGTGGCCATGGCTCACAGGCCCAGCTGCTCCGCGGCATGTGGGATCCTCCCAGACCAGGGCACGAACCCGTGTCCCCTGCATCGGTAGGCGGACTCTCAACCACTGTGCCACCAAGGAAGCCCTGCCTACTCTTTTAAAAGTACTTTGCAATCATACCTACTACTTAGATTAATGGCAATCCAATATAAAGAACTCCCCCTCCTGATTCACTATTATGTTGATTTTTAAGCCAACCTTAATGCACTTCTTTTAAAAATATTTTTCTTATTATCTCTACCTCTGTTTTTTTTCTATTTCTTTTCCTCTCTGCAACTCTTCCTCTGACACAGAAGTTTCCATAACTAAGAAAATAACTAGTAAATACATCATTTTTCTCTGATGCAGTCTTGCATTTCTGAACAGCTAAAGAGTTGAAAAAAGCAAATGTGTACATAAAGTTACTAAAAACAATATTTTAGTCAAATTAATATTACTGCAAAACTTGATCCTGTTGGTTAAACCTTTTCGAAATGATTGACTTTTCAAATATGTAAGATTTTATTTTAGTTCCCTCTAAAGAATTTTAACAAAAAATTTCTTAATGGCCAGAACAGAATGATTTCTCTCATTAGGAAATGTTATAGATAAGAAGACATTTTCCTGAAAAAATTTAGCCACAACTATGGGCAAAATTCTCAAAACAGATAAATCTTAAATTTCAAATCTGCTCAGAGCTATGTTTTTGTTTTTTTCCAACCTACGCTCAATCCCTATAGAAGTCAGATTCAGAATAATACTTTTATCAGTTTCAAAAGAGAGGTCAAGGCCAAAACACAAGACAACTAGAGTGGTCTTTCCTGAGGGTCTTTATAATAATTTGAGCTAATTCATTAGGTAAAAATATAACCAGGATTAATGCCTACATTGTCTACTTCTACACAGAGAAACAATCTACATCTTACATTTATTAAAACAAGTTATATAGTCTTAACTATTAATGAATACATTTAAGAAGGCTCCAGTGACATTTGTTTATAAAAGTCGTATTTTTAAACCTTTACCTAAAGCCCATAATTTTAGTTTATGTTACAAATAATAGAAACTATGTTCTCACTAGAAAATGTATAGAGCTCAATTAAAACCACTCTTCCAGCCTAAACATGAGTTAAAATAAAGTAACATCATACTCAGACTTTCAAAGAATCTTTGGCTTTTTATTTCTTTAAGAATTTGTCTTTTTATTTCTTTAAGAATCATGTCAATTTTTTTCAATAAAGAAGAATCTCTTTATTTAACTGTCCATGTTCATTTTAAGCAGAATTACATATAATTGTATGATACATGACCCAAAAAGCAAAAAAAAATTTCTGCTACTGAATTTTTCACTTATTCTATCAATTAAAATGTATATACTTGAAATAGATACTTTTCAAGGGGAAGCTGAGTTACAGCATTATTAGATTACATGAAAATGGCTAAGAAAAGGTTTACATCAAAAGAATTAAGTATTTATATGATTTCTGGGTCACCAGGAATGAAATTTCACTCTTACTGATTTGAAGTGAATTTCCAAATAAGATCTGTTATGAAGTTCTAATAGTGACTGAGCTTCAAGATATTAAAATCTATATTAAATGCATAAATTGCAAGCAATTTAAAAATCTTAAATAAAAATATTCTTAATCATAAATGATAACTCTAATCCCTATGGTGTTATCTTCTACCAAATAAAATTTTAATTTTTTTATTAAACTTTATCATTATCTAAAAGTACAAGTATCACAAGTGTCACCCATAAGCCAAAAACATTAATAAGAACTAAAACTACAGCCAAACCACTTTCTAGACAAAATACTTACCCAATCATTGCTGTCCCTTTAACTTCAGCCTCTGTGCCATTTATAACTGAGTCCTGATTTTTGTCATCTTCCCTGTCAGTGACATCACTTGAAAAGCCCAACAAAGCTCGCACTCGTTTGGATTTCACATCTAGAATAGTATCTGTGTAACCCACCTCCTGTAGATACCTGTGTGTGAAGAGGATCTTTACAATTCAGTCATATTGGAATCAGTATTCTATTACTGAATATGTAAATAAAAACATTTCTTTAAATTCATATGCCTGCATAAGACTTAACAGTACAGTACTATGCTAGTAAGACTTGCTAATAAATAATCTTCCAGCTGCAGATGGAGCTGTCTCTTGCAGTACCAGCCTCTATGGTCACTGAGAAAAATCAAAGAACTATACAATACACCATTCATTTATCATAAGAAAAAGCTATTCCTTAATATACCTAATGGCACATTCTTTCTTCTAGGCAGGGCTGGAGTAAACTCACAGATTCTACTGAATTACTATTTTATAATAGTAACTACAATAACCAATAGTCTTTTTACACTTCTGATATTAAACTATCATTGGATAAACTGAAATCTAGAAAGTTTCTAGCATATATCTCTATGACATACAAAGTTTCTAGCATATATGGTTTCCTCCATGACATAAAAAAGACAGCATATTCCAGAGTCACTTCCACAGAAGGGAAGCTTCTATCCTGACGACAACTCTAAAATAAAAATAGACCACAACTCAATTGTGGGATGTGAGATGAGTGGGTGCACAGGGGTGTGTGTGCTGCAGAGAGGCAGCAGCATAGAAAACAGAGAATAGGCTTTGTATGGAGAGTTACACCTGGGTTCAAAGCCCATTTCTTCCACCTTCTTCCTGTGTAACATTAATTCTCCCAAACCTTAGTCTTCCTTCTCCTAAAAGAGACACACCTAGAACAGTGTCTGGCATATAGAAGGCGCTCAGTATCTATAAACAACAAAGATGAACAAAAAAGATGAAAAGTGGTAGTGGCAAGAACATGAAAAAGGCAAATGCCACTAATAATGTTATTAATAAACATGATAGACAAATGTCTACCATTAACATAAGCATTAACTTAGAGGTAAGTATCAAGTCTATGAGATGAAAGAGAAAACAAAGATCAAAAAGATAACCAGTCTGATCTAAGATCACTTTAAGATCTGGTATTAAGAGTTATTATAGGTCAAAGAGATACCTCACAAAGACATGTAACCAGAATGGAATAAATGTATCCTATCAAGTCAAGGTACTCATTTTTCAATCCTATCCAGTACCTATAGAAAATTTTTGATTAAAATTTGGATAGTAAATTTCAAACGTTCCTGATTTTAATCAGCTGGTTCTTGCAAACAAACACAAAGGTATTATGCTTTTCTATTTTTAACAAATAATACTTGATACATAACTCACTTTGGCAACAAAATCACATTACATACAACCGTTTACAAAACTGCTCATTCCATAGATGAGTTGGCTTTACTAAATAGTTACTTCCTTATTTCATTAATAAAATGTCACCTTTGAGAGGCAAATTACGAGTCTTTTAAAAGATATTTCTTGGATTGCTCACTATGATAACCACTTGTCATTAAAAAACAAAATCAGCACTTTAATAACTTATTTACTTATAAAAGGAAAATGCATAAATCACATTTAAGACCAAAGTGAAAACCCATTTATTAAATAGTAATGAAGTCTCTGGAGACTGAATTCAGCTGGAGACAGAACTCACTGGAGAATGGAGCTCATGAGGGCCTTTGGGATGACTGTGGTTCAAGGTTATAAAATTTTATTATATGGTTCATCGCTGTACTTACTATGAGGAAAGTAGAGTAAAGTTGGAAAAAAATCTAGTAACTTTGAAAAACTGAGACCAGAGGAGCGACTGGTTCAAGATGGTGGAGTAGAAGGACGTGTGCTCACTCCCTCTTGCAAAGAGCACCGGAATGCCAACTAACTGCTGGACAGTCATCAAGAGGAAGACACTGGAACTCACCAAAAAAGATACCCCACATCCAAAGACAAAGGAAAAGCCGCAGTGAGACGGTAGGAGGGGCGCAATCACAATAAAATCAAATCCCACAACCGCTGGGTGGATGACTAACAAACTGGAGAACAATTACACCACAGAAGTCCACCCACTGGAGTGAACGTTCTGAGCCCCACATCAGGCTTCCCAACCTGGGGGTCCAGCAACAGGAGGAGGAATTCCCAGAGAATCAGACTTTAAAGGCTAGCGGGATTTGATTGCAGGACTTCGACAGGACTGGGGGACACAGAGACTCCACTCTTGGAGGGCACACACAAAGTAGTGTGCGCATCGGGACCCAGGGGAAGGAGCAATGACCCCAGGGGAGACTGAACCAGACCTGCCAGCTAGTGTTGGAGGGTCTCCTGCAGAGGCAGGGGGTGGCTGTGGCTCACCACAGGGACGAGGACACTGGCAGCTAAAGTTCTGGGAAGTACTCCTTGGCATGAGCCCTCCAGAGTCCACCCTTAGCCCCACCAAAGAGCTGGGCAGGCTCCACTGCTGGGTCACCTCAGGCCAAATAACCAACAGGGAGGGAATGCAACCCCACCCATCAGCAAACAAGGAGGTTAAAGTTTTACTGAGTTGTTCCCACCAGAGCAAACCCAGCTCTACCCACCACCAGTCCCTCCCATCAGGAAGCTTGCACAAGCCTCTTAGATAGCCTCATCCACCAGAGGGCAGACAGCAGAAGCAAGAAGAACCACAACACTGCAGCCTGTGGAATGAAAACCACATTCACAGAAAGACAGACAAAATGAAAATGCAGAGGGCTAGGTTCCAGATGAAGGAACAAGATACAAACCCAGAAAAACAATTAAATGAAGTGGAGATAGGCAACCTTACAGAAAAAGAATTCAGAATAATGAAAGTGAAGATGATCCAGGACCACAGAAAAAGAATGGAGGCAAAGATCAAGAAGTTGCAAGAAATGTTTAACAAAGACCTACAAGAATTAAAGGACAAACACCTAGAAGAATTAAAGAACAAGCAAACAGAGATTAACAATACAATAACTGAAATGAAAAACATACTAGAAGAAATCAATAGCAGAATAACTGAGGCAGAAGAACGGACAAGTGACCTGGAAGACAGAATGGTAGAATTCACTGCCGTGGAACAGAGTAAAGAAAAAGAATGAAAAGAAATGAAGACAGCCTAAGAGACCTCTGGGACAACATTAAATGCACCAACATTCGCATTATAGGGGCCCCAGAAGGAGAAGAGAGAGACAAAGGACTCAAGAAAATAACTGAAGAGATTATAGTCAAAAACTTCCCTAATATGGGAAAGGAAATAGCCACCCAAGTCCAGGAAGTGCAGAGAGCACCAGGCAGGATAAACCCAGGAGAAACATGCCAAGACACATAGTAATCAAACTAACAAAAATTAAAGACAAAGAAAAATTGTTAAAAGCAACAAGAGAAAAATGACAAATAACATACAAGGGAACTCCCATAAGGTTAACAGCTGATTTCTCAGCAGAAACTCTACAAGCCAGAAGGGAGTGGCATGATATACTTAAAGTGATGAAAGGGAAGAAACTACAACCAAGATTACTCTACCCAGCAAGGATCTCATTCAGATTCAATGGAGAAATCAAAACCTTTACAGACAAGCAAAAGCTAAGAGGATTCAGTACCACCAAACCACCTCTACAACAAATGCTAAAGGAACTTCTCTAAGTGGGAAACACGAGAGAAGAAAAGGACCTACAAAAACAAACCCAAAATAATTAAGAAAATGGTAACAGGAACATACATATCGATAATTACCTCAAATATGAATGGATTAAATGCTCCAACCAAAAGACACAGGCTGGCTGAATGGATACAAAAACAAGACCCATCTATATGCTGTCTACAAGAGACTCACTTCAGACCTAGGGACACATACAGCCTGAAAGTGAAGGGATGGAAAACGATATTCCATGCAAATGGAAATCAAAAGAAAGCTGGAGTAGCAATACACATATCAGATAAAACAGACTTTAAAATAAAGAATGTTACAAGAGACAAGGAAGGACACTACATAATGGTCAAGGGTTCAATCCAAGAAGAAGATATAACAATTATAAATATATATGCACCCAACATAGGAGCACCTCAATACATAAGGCAAATCTAACAGCTATAAAAGAGGAAATCGACAGTAACACAATAATAGTGGGGGACTTTAACACCTCACTTACACCAATGGAAAGATCATCCAAAATGAAAATTAATAAGGAAACACAAGCTTTAAATGACACAATAGATCAGATAGATTTAATTGATATTTATAGGACATTCCATCCCAAAACAGCAGATTACACTTTCTTCTCAAGTGCACATGGAACATTCTCCAGGATAGATCACATCCTGGGTCACAAACCAGCCTCAGTAAATTTAAGAAAATTGAAATCATATTAAGCATCTTTTCCGACCACAACGCCATGAGATTAGAAATAAGTTACAGGGAAAAAAACACAAAAAATACAAACACAGGGAGGCCAAACAATACATTACTAAATAACCAAGAGATCACTGAAGAAATCAAAGAGGAAATAAAAAAATACCTAGAGACAAATGACAACGAAAACACAACGATCCAAAAACCTATGGGATGCAGCAAAAGCAGTTCTAAGAGAGAAGTTTAGAGCAATTCAATCTCACCTCAAGAAACAAGAAAAATCTCAAATAAACAATCTAACCTTACACCTAAAGGAACTAGAGAAAGAAGAACAAACAAACCCCAAAGTTAGCAGAAGGAAAGAAATCATAAAGATCAGAGCAGAAATAAATGAAATAAAAACAAAGAAAACAATAGCAAAGATCAATAAAATTAAAAGCTGGTTCTTTAAGAAGGTAAAATTGATAAATCATTAGCCAGACTCATCAAGAAAAAGAGGGAGAGGACTCAAATCAATAAAATTAGAAATGAAAAAGGAGAAGTAACCACAGACACTGCAGAAATACAAAGCATCCTAGGAGACTAATACAAGCAACTCTGTGCCAATAAAATGGACAATCTGGAAGAAATGGACAAATTCTTAGAAAGGTATAACCTTCCAAGACTGAACCAGGAAGAAATAGAAAATATGAACAGACCAATCACAAGTACTGAAATTGAAACTGTGATTAAAAATCTTCCAGCAAACAAAAGTCCAGGACCAGATGGCTTCACAGGTGAATTCTATCAAACATTTAGAGAAGAGCTAACACCCATCCTTCTCAAACTCTTCCAAAAAACTGCAGAGGAAGGAACACTCCCAAACTCATTCTATGAGGCTACCATCACCCTGATACCAAAACCAGACAAAGATACTACAAAAAAAGAAAATTACAGACCGATATCGCTGATGAATACAGATGCAAAAATCCTCAACAAAATACTAGCAAACAGAATCCAACAACACATTAAAAGGATCATACACCATGATGAAGTGGGATTTATCCCAGGGAAGCAAGGATTCTTCAATATACATACATCAATCAATGCGATACACCATATTAACAAATTGAAGAATAAAAACCATATGATCAACTCAATAGATGCAGAAAAAGCTTTCGACGAAATTTAACACCCATTTATGATAAAAACTCTCCAGAGAGTGGGCACAGAGGGAACCTACCTCAACATAATAAAGGCCATATATGACAAACCCACCGCAAACATCATTCACAATGGTGAAAAACTGAAAGCATCTCCTCTAAGATCAGGAACAAGACAAGGATGTCCACTCTTGCCACTGTTATTCAACATAGTCCTAACCATGGCAATCAGAGAAGAAAAAGAAATAAAAGGAATCCAAATTGGAAAAGAAGAAGTAAAACTGTCACTGTTTGCAGATGACATGATACTATACATACAGAATCCAAAAGATGCCACCAGAAAACTAGTAGAGCTAATCAATAAATCTGGTAAAGCTGCAGGATACAAAATTAATGCACAGAAATCTCTTGCATTCCTATACACTAACAACGAAATATCAGAAAGAGAAATTAAGGAAACAATCCCACTCACCACTGCAACAAAAAGAATAAAATAACTAGGAATAAACCTACCTAAGGAGACAAAAGACCTGTATGTAGAAAATTATAAGACACTGATGAAAGAAATCAAAGATGAAACAAACAGATGGAGAGATATACCATGTTCTTGGATTGGAAGAATCAATATTGTGAAAATGACTATACTACCCAAAGCAATCTACAGATTCAATGCAATCCCTATCAAACTACCAATGGCATTTTTTATAGAACTAGAACAAAAAATCTAAAATTTGTATGGAGACACAAAAGACCTCAAATAGCCAAAGCAATCTTGAGGGAAAAAAATGGGAGCTGGAGGAATCAGACTCCCTGACTTCAGACTATACTACAAAGCTACAGTAATCAAGAAAGTATGGTACTGGCACAAAAACAGAAATATAGATCAATGGAACAGGATAGAAAGCCCAGAGATAAACCCACACACCTATGGTCAACTAATGTATGACAAAAGAGGCAAAGATATACAATGGAGAAAAGACAGTCTCTTCAATAAGTGGTACTGGGAAAACTGGACAGCTACATGTAAAAGAAAGAAGTTAGAACACTCCCTAACACCATACACAAAAATCAACTCAAAATGGATTAAATACCTAAATTTAAGACACAGTACTATAAAACCCCTATAGGAAAACACAGGAAGAATGCTCTTTGATATAAATCACAGCAAGATCTTTTTTGACCCACCTCCTAGAGTAATGGAAATAAAAACAAAAATAAACAAATGGGACCTAATGAAACTTAAAAGCTTTTGCACAGCAAAGGAAACTATAAACAAGACGAAAAGACAACCCTCAGAATGGGAGAAAATATTTGCTAACAAATTAACAAAGGATTAATTTCCAAAATATATAAACAGCCCATGCAGCTCAATATTAAAAAAACAAACAACCCATTCCAAAAATGGGCAGAAGACCTAAACAGACATTTCTCCAAAGAAGACATATAGATGGCCAAGAGACACATGAAAAGCTGCTCAACATCACTAATCATTAAGACAAATGCAAATCACAACTACAATGAGGTATCACCTCACATTGGTCAGAATGGGCATCATCCAAAAATCTACAAACAGCAAATGCTGCTGAGGGTGTGGAAAAAAGGGAACCCTCTTGCACTGTTGGTGGGAATGTAAACTGCTACAGCCACTATGGAGAAGAGTATGGAGATTCCTTAAAAAACTAAAAATAGAATCACCATATGACTCAGCAATCCCACTACTGGGCATACACCCAGAGAAAACCATAATTCAAAAAGACACATGCACCACAGTGTTCACTGCAGCACTATTTACAATAGCCAGGTCATGGAAGCAACCTAAATGCCCACTGACAGACAAATAGTTAAAGAAGATGTGGTACATATATACAATGGAATATTACTTGGCCATAAAAAGGAACGAAATTGAGTCATTTGTAGAGACATGGATGGACCTAGAGACTTTCATACAGAGTGAAGTAAGTCAGAAAGAGAAAAAAAGATATCATATATTTACACATATATGTGGATTCTCGAGGAATGGTACAGATGAACCAGTTTGCAAGGCAGAAATAGAGACAGAGATGTAGAGAACAAATGTATGGACACCAAGCGGGGAAAGTGGGGGGGCGGGGATGAATTGGGATTGACATATATACACTAATACATATAAAATAGATAATAAGAACCTGCTGTATAAAAAATAAATAAAATTTAAAACATAAATAAATAGTAATGAAGTCTCATTTCCTTCTCACTTTGAGGAGATAAAAAATAGATGTAAGAAGACACTTTAATATTCTCTTCCCATCATCAAAAGAAATGGCTGGCATGCAATCTGCTCTGGAAACCACAGGTTTAGACTATTCACAAGCAACCGCAAAAGTTTAAACCAGGTAGCAAATTTCATTTTACTGAGGCACAAATCAAAATACCAATTTCAAATGTGATATGCAAGGGTCAGGCACTGAGCTGGTGAGTGAGTCTAGCCCACTGCCTGACATCTGAACCTCAACCTAGCTTTGATCCCTCTTTATACTCTCAAGTTCACATTTTATAGGAGAAACTATATGTTAGCATAAAATTTACAAACTTGGGTAATCCAAGAAGTTCTTCTATCTATTTAAAATAAAGTTTAAAAATATAACACAAAAATTACATGATTAGACTTATATTAAAATATATGTATATTCATGTGTAAAAGGTACAAGGAAAAGAGTAACTTTAAGGGTATAGAATTCTTTAAACTATAAATTTAAGCATATATAAATTAGAAGCTTTAAGCTGTACACTTCCTGATAAAGCTAAAATTATGGAGAGAGAACTTATTCTTAATTCTTACTAATATTTAATGAAAAAATAAATTCCTCCATAGGGGAAAAAGTATTTAATATGAAAAAGGAACAGTAATTCAAAGAAGCTTTTTCACAGCAGATACTTTCATGAGATACTTACTGTCTGAGTAGTTGTCGACCTTGTTTCCACATTAACTGGCTGTTTTGTTGTGGCTGCACCTCTGTTTCATTACCTTCATCTGGAAAACATTAAATCATAAAAAAAACTGACGTTATATACATTAGAGGGTATCTCAATTCATTAAAAATGTCCAATAAAAATTTATAAGATTAAGAACACTACACTGTAAGGTATGTTTTAGGACAATGGAAATTCTGTTTTTAAGTTTAATTTCCGTAACAAAACTCTAATATAAATTCATTATTGCTACTAGATTTCCCTGAGAATTTCAGAACTAAAATAAAGACTTTTCCCCAATTTTTAGGTAACCTGAGAATTTTCCTTCAGGACAAATCAAGTCACACAAGAGTCAAAAGTATTACGAAGCACCACATCAGAATTAGAACAAAATGCCCAGGAACGATGCTTCAAAAAAAAAAAAAAAGCCGATCTGGTAAAGAGTAGATAGGTAAGAAATAATCCCTGCTCTGCACCTGGCACGCTCGCAGCGCACCGCACCCGGCCCAGCTTCTTTCAAAATGTCTACCGTTCATGAAATTCTCTACAAGCTCAGCTTGGAGGGTGATCACTCCACACCTCCAAGTGCACACGGGTCAGTCAAAGCGTACACCAACTTTGATGCTGAGCGGGATGCTCTGAACGTTGAAATGGCCATCGAGACTAAGGGTGTGGATGAGGTCACCATCATCAACATTTTGACCAACCGCAGCAATGAACAGAGACAGGATATTGCCTTTGCCTACCAGAGAGGACCAAAAAGGAACTTCCATCAGCACTGAAGTCAGCCTTGTCCGGCCACCTGGAAACAGTGATTTTGGGCCTACTGAAAACACTTGCTCAGTATGACGCTTCCAAGCTGAAAGCCTCCATGAAGGGGCGGGGAACGATGAGGGCTCTCTCATTGAGTTCATCTGCTCAAGGACCAACCAGGAGCTGCAGGAAATCAACGGAGTCGACAAGGAAATGTACAAGACCAATCTGGAGAAGGATATCATTTCCGACACATCTGGTGACTTCCGCAAGCTGATGGTTGCCCTATCGAAGGGTCGAAGAGCAGAGGATGGCTCTGTCATTGATTATGAACTGACTGACCAAGATGCCCGGGATCTCTATGATGCTGGCAGAAGAGAGGAACTGATGTTCCCAAGTGGATCAGCATCATGACCGAGCGGAGTGTGTGCCACCTCCAGAAAGTATTTGAAAGTATTTGAAAGGTATAAGAGCTACAGCCCTTATGACATGCTGGAGAGTATCAACAAGGAGGTCAAAGGAGACCTGGAAAATGCCTTCCTGAACCTAGTCCAGTGCATTCAGAACAAGCCCCTGTGTTCTGCTGACAGACTGTATGACTCCATGAAGGGCAAGGGCACTCGTGATAAGGTCCTGATTAGAATCAGGATCTACCACAGTGAAGTGGACATGTTGAAAATTAGATCTGAATTCAAGAAAAAGTATGGCAAGTCCCTGTACTACTACATTCAGCAAGACATCAAGGGCTACTACCAGAAAGCGCTGCTGTACCTGTGTGGTGGGGATGACTGAAGCCCACAATGGCCTGAGGGTCCAGGATGGCTGCTCCGCACTCCTAGCTAACAGTTCTACACAGTCAGCTTGTGGCTAACAGCCCCCTTGTGCCCATCCCTGGGAGGATGACGTTAGCACTTCCCACCCCACCTGCTCCATCCTTAGTTTAGTTGCCTAAGCATTACGTGGCTTTCTGGTCTAGTCTCTCTTTACAGTCAAAGAAATGAACATTCCAAGGAGCTGGAAGTGAAATCTATGATGTGAAACACTTTGTCTTCTGAGTAATGTGTCATAAACATGAATAAACTGAATTTTTACTTTAGGAACAAGTAAAAAAAAAAAAGAAAGAAAGAATCCCAAGCCAAATCTATTTCCTTTACTAGTCATTAAATGAAAACCTCACGCACTCTTTTTTTAAGACATTCTTTAGATGAAAACCTCCTAGGCCCTGTAAACCTTCAATTCATCATTTGGTAGAAGCCGAATCTTTCAAAAAGATGATAAGAGACTTTCCTGGTGGCGCAGTGGTTAAGAATCTGCCTGCCAATGCAGGGGACATAGGTTCGAGCCCTGGTCTGGGAAGATCTCACATGCCGCGGAGCAACTAAGCCTGTGTGCCACAACTACTGAGCCTGTGCCCTAGAGCCCGCAAGCCACAGCTACTGAGCCCATGTGCCACAACTACTGAAGCCCACGCACCTAAAGCCCGTGCTCCGCAACAAGAGAAGCCACGACAATGAGAAGCCCACGCACCGAAACAAGCAGCCCCTGCTTGCCGCAACTAGAGAAAGCCTGCATGCAGCAACAAAGACCCAATGCAGCCAAAAATAAAAAATAATAAATAAATAAATATGCCTAAATCCTTTCTACACCATCCTCAGATATACTCAACTGCCTTTGCCTACTTTGGTAGCTAGTGATGTTACCAAGGAGTGGTACATCCATTCAATGGAATACTACTCAACAAGAACAAGAAATGAACTACTGATACACACCAACATATAAGAATCTCAAATGCATTATGCTAAACAGTAGACCCTAGATTCAAAAGACTACATTCTGTATGATTCTGGAATTGATATGATTTTCTCAAAAAGGCAAAACTGTAGGAACAGAAAACATATTAGTGGTTGCCAGGGGATTAGAGTAGGGAAGGAGAGGTTAACTACAAAGGGTATTAGTAACAAGACTGTACGTGTTTATGAAAACACCAAAAAGGTGAATTTCACTGTATGTAAATTATACCTTAATAAAAAATAAATTAAGCCAAATCAAATAAGAATGCATCCTCACTCTCTTTTTAAAAAGTGTATTCTTATACTGAGATAAAATCCGACTCCCTGGGTGATCATTTTGTAATATATTAAAATATCAAACCACTATGTTGTATACCTGAAACTAATATAATATTGCAAGTCAATTATACTTCAATGAGAGAAAAAGAAAAGGAAAGCAAGCACTCAGTCTTGACTCAGTTAACCCAGCTATATGACAAAAACAGCAAGGCTATGACCGCTGCTTACTATATTATTCCACACTGGATCATGACTAGGCTCCAGATGATTGCAAGGAAGCAAACGAAACCTCATGGAAATATAACCAGTCACAACACTTACTAAGAATGAAGAGATTCAAAGACCTATAGAGCTTGAAGAGTCCTTATCTCCTTGGTAATGGATTTGAGGAAAACTGCTTACCTTAATTCTTTTATTAGATTAGTGTATGAATTAATGATCTAAGATTATGTCTGCAATCATAGATATAACCACACAAACATAAAACAGGCTCTTTACTCAACATTGCCAAAATCTATTTTCCACTGATTTAGAGAAATAATCAGTGGTATAGCCTTCTGTAAGAGCAACAAGTTTCAATGCCTGCAAAGTAATTATAAAGACAGAAATCCTGATTCTGGATAAATTTCTCCGAAGTAAATTTTTCTTTCTCTATTTAAAAAAAAAAAAAAAAATCTGACTCTCTGGGTCACATGTGAACTTGTATTTCCCCACACTTCCTTATCCAGGCTAAACACTTAGTTCTCTCAATGGTTAGTAAGTATTCATCAACTATCAGATTCATTCTTACCTTATCAAGTTCAAAACGTGACATTATACAAAAATGAGGATTTTAAAGTGGGTAAGAACTGAATTTCTTGGTAATGTTAAAAGTATCTGACTGGCATTTCCAGTCAAGTTGGAGTAACAGGGACCCAATTTACCCTCCTGCTTGAAGCAACTATAAATCAAAATGGTTAAGACATTGGACACCAGGCAACAGAGGGCAGCAATCCCTGAGAAAAGGGAACCAAACAGGTGAGCCTATGATTGTTCCAGCTTACTGCCTTGATAGAGTTTCCCGATCACAGCATAGGGAGGGAGAACAAAAATAATATCTAAAGAAACAGGGACTGAAAAGTTCCAAATTTCATGAAAACTATAAACCCATAGATCCAAGAAACCCAACAAATCCCAAGCACAAGAAACACTGCGGTGGGGGGCGGGGCGGGGTGTGGAACTACACCAAAGCACATCATAATAAAATTGCTTAAAACCAATGATAGAGAGATACCTTAAAAGCAGCCAGAGAAAAAGGTCACTCATATACAGAGGAATAAAGATAAGAATGACAGAAGATATCTCATCAGAAACAATGCAAGCAGCAAAATAAAGACTTTTTCAGACACACAAAAGCTCAAAGAATTCATTATCAGCAACCCGTATTACAAAATATGTTAAAGAAAGTCCTTAAGACAGAAGGAAAATGATACCAGAAAATATGGATGCACACAAAGGAATGATGAGCACTGGAAATATATGCTTTTTATGTTATTTAAATCTCTTTGAAAGAGAACTGTTGAAACAAAAATAATAATGTAGTGTATGGTTTATATATATACAGAGAAGTAAAATGTATGAAAACAACTGCACAAAGACAGAAAGGAGAGATGGAAGTACAGTTAGGAGGTTCTCATACTACACATGAAGTGGTATATTAGCACTTAAAGACAGAACTCTAATAACTTAAAAACATATACTATAAATCCTAAAGCAACCAATAAAATAAGAGTTGTAGCTAATAAGTCAGCAAAAGAGATAAAAAGAAATCATAAAAAATACTACATTAGGGGCTTCCCTGGTGGCGCAGTGGCTAAGAATCCGCCTGCCAATGCAGGTGACACAGGTTCGAGCCCTGGTCCGGGAAGATCCCACATGCCACGGAGCAACTAAGCCAGTGCACAACAACTACTGAAGCCAGTGCGCCTAGAGCCCATGCTCCGCAACAAGAGAAGCCACTGCAATGAGAAGCCCACACAATGCAACGAAGAGTAGCCCCCGCTCACTGCAACTAGAGAAAGCCTGCACGTAGCAATGAAGACCCAATGCAGCCAAAAATAAATAAATAAAATTTTGAAAATATATACTAGATTAATCCAAAAGAAATCAAAAAATGAGGAAAAGGGAGCAAAGAACATATATAACAAATAGAAACCAAACAGCAAAGGTGACAGCTTTAAAGCTCACTGTATCAATAACCACATTAAATGTGAATGGTCTAAACATCTCACATAAAAGGCAGAATCTGTTACTCTGGATAAAGATATTCTATTTTTAATAAGTATCTGGCTTCTAATATTAAGTAGGAGAAACTGAAATATCAAAGATAAATAGATTTTAACGTAACTTAGGGTAATATTCTCCTGAAGTAGAAATGTAAAGGTTTGGAAGTGGAACAAAACAGAAAAAATGTCAGAGGGCAAACGAATTTTTTTGAAAAATGTTTCAGAAAACATCTGGATTATCAGTTTCAGGAAAATATAGTAAATGGATAAAAGAATGAAGAACGAAAAATGCCTGCTTCTTTAATTTGGATATACCACCTTCTACCCTCTCCTAGTCACTGTCCTCATCACTGTCACCTACAAATCCCTTGATAACACTAAACCAGGCATCCTTCCTCTGTAACCAAACTTTTACATCATCTTGAGTGAAGTTAATATTCATGTGGGTGATCCACTTCAGCTTCTGCACAACCACCACCCTCTCAACTGTCATGCCTTAGATACTGTCATTATGAAGAACTGTCATTGATGCAAACTCACTCTCTGAGCATATCCTTCAAGCTCAATACCCCTAATTCACCAGGCACTTTGATTTAGGTGGGACCTTAGATCAGGGGCTGGCAAATTTTGGCCTGCAGGTCAAATCCAGCCTGCCACACTTATTCATTTATGTGTTGTGGCTGCTTTCATGTTATGATGGCAGAGTTGAGTAGTTTCAACAGAGAACATGGCCTACAAAGCCCAAATATTACTATCTGACCCTTTACAAAAGAGTTTGCTGACCTGCTCTAGACTGTTGCCTATCCCCTGACTTTGATCCATTAGCCTCCCTTTGCCTTCACTTTCTTTCCTCTCTAGTTTTAGTTCAGTGTCTATCAATTCAACCATTCTTTTGACAGTGTCTTCATGTCCCCTTGTCTCTCCATGAATTCAACTGTCAACTATTTTCATTCTATTATCTTTTACTTAGGCTGCCAATTGTGCAACCAGCAGCACTTCTACATAAACTTACGATTACACAACTCAATCGGACGCTTAGCTTTTCTCAATCTTACTATTTCTTAGTAAATTTGTTCTCCTGTTCATTATTATTTTAAACCTTCTCCACTTTTCTTAAACCTCTGATGTATTCTTAGCAGATAATCCAGTCTCATACATAAAGCTATCGTATTAAATATCCACCACCAGACCAAAACCCAAATCTACACACCTATCACCTAACTTCCTATATTCTCTCTTGGTAACAATAAAAGACATGTTCCTCCTGCCATTCTCCAGCTATGTTCAGAATCCAATCCCTATCACTTCTTCAGATACCTTCATATCGTATCTCTGCTCTCTCCTTTATATTTGCTCCTCCTCTAAGAAACATGTCACACACATACATACACACACACACATTCTCTCTCTCTCCTCCTTGACCCCATGGGTCCTTTCAGCTATTTCCCCCTAATCCCTCACCTTCACCTCCACAATCTAGGCTTCCTTAAAGCTTACTACACGTAGTCTTCACTTTCTATGCACAGTCTTCGTTTCTGCCCTCAACTCTCTCCTAAGACTGCTCACAATAAAGTTCCCAGTGACCTGTGTGTCACTAAATCCTAGAGATACTCTTCAGATCCCTGGGCATTAATCAGTAGTGCTGAAGGATCCTTCCTTCTGGAAACCCTCTCTTCTCTTTATCTCCATGCTCCTGATTTTCCTCCTACCATTAAAATAATCCTCATCAGTTTCCTTTTCAGGTTTCTATTCTTCTACCAGTTTTTTAAATGTTGCCATTCCTCAGGGCTCCATTTTAGACCCTCTTCTTACTCTGCATAAGGTCCCTGGCTGAGCTCTTCCACCCCAGTGGCAATGAGTGTCATTAGTACTAGATGCTATATGCTCTCAAATCTACATATTAAACCCATGTCTCTGGCTTGAGCTCCACACTCACATGCTCAGCTGTCTACTAGCCATTTCTGCTTGATGGCCTAACAAGTAAATCCAAAAGTGAACCCACCATCTTCCACACGTACTTCTGGTCTAGTTTTTTAAACTAGAAGTGTGGGAGTCATCCTGGATTCTCCCCTTTTTAAATCCCCTACATCTAAACAAGAACTAATTTCCTGCAGATTTTACTTCCTAAATATTTCCTGAACACACCCACTTCTCTTCAACTACATTGTTAGTACCCTTGTCAAGGTAACCTTCCTCATTTACCCAGGTGGCTGCAAAGTCCTCTAACCCGTCTCCCCATCTCTAGTTTTACTCCTCTCTAACCCATCTTCCACACTGCTGTCAGCATGATCTAAGAGCAAATCTGATCACAAGAGCCCTGATTAAGACCCTTCAAAAGCCTTCTCGTAACTCTTAGTTAATCTTCCCTCCTGGTTAACTCTCTAGCTGCATCTAGAAACACTCTT